GTCCTCTTCCCTCCCCTCCTGCCGTCAAACACACACACGAAGGATCCCCCTTCCCCCCCGGGGGGGGGGTCTTCCCTCCCCCCGTACCTGCGAGGTGATGATAAGGCCCATGCCCATCAGCATTTCCTTGGTGCTCACGTCGTGCGTGGAGCTGCCTTCCCCGGACAGGATGCTGCTGGTGCCCACCAGCGTGATGCCCAACTGGGGGGTAGGTGGGGGGTAGGTGGGGGGTAGGTGGGGGTAATGTGAGAGGGGAGGGAAGAGAATTGGGGAGGTTGTGAAGGCGTGTTGTGCGGGGGTGCGGCTTGCGGGGATTTGCGTCACACACTGCGGTTTGTTTGGCGGCATTGACATGACGCCTGTATATAACCATGCCGTGCGTGAGCCACCAATACACACATACACATACACACATACACACGCGCTTGCTGCTGATCCGCACCCAACTCCTTTCAAACCCTAGTCACCCTCCCTCAACCACCTCCCTCACCCCCCCTCCCCTCCCTCCCTCAACCTCACCAGGATATATCCCCTTCCTCCCCACCCCAAAAAAGGAACACCCACCCACACCCCACACCCCACACCCCACACCCCCCAAACCCCCCACCACGCAGCACACGATGCCCAGCGCATGAAACCGATTAAGTTTGCGACCCAGAAAGGTTATCGCGAAGGCCGCGGCGAACAGCATCTCCGCGCCCCTCATCATTTGGTACACCGACGCGGTCACGTAGAGCAGCCCGATGTTCATCAGGATGGTGGCAACCAGGTCGAAGGCGGTGGGAATGGCGAGGAGGGCGATCTCCCTGATCTGCGACCGCTTGGGCGTGCCCAAGGCGCTCGTGTCCTGACGGGAAAGAGGGGGAACGAGGGAGAGGAAGGACCGGAGAGAAAGAAGCTGACATGTTGCAAGTGGGGCCGCGGTTGCAGCTAACGCGCTTTTTCAATTTGCTGTTTCCTTCGATTACTATTCTCGTTGCCCGCCAGGCTAGGACACAACTACCCCAGGAGAGGTACGGACCAGGACGAGTGCGGGAGGAAGAAGGGGCGGGGGAGAGGGGGCACGTGAGGGGCACGTGGCGCGGGGACTGGCACGAGGCCATGGACCCACATCGAAGGAAAGGAGGGGATCTTCTGCTGCGGATCGTTTCTTGGTACGGCGCTCCTGGAAGTAAGCCAGCGGCAGGCACATCGACATGCCTGAAGGGAGGGGAAATTAGGGGGAGGGGAAATGAAGTGGGACCCAGGCGGAGCCAGTGCCGGGAAGAGGAGGGTGAAAAGGAAGCCCTCGCCACGCAAGTCTGGCCACACAAGTTTGCTACCAGAATGGCGTAAAATGTGTTGCGTAAGACGTTGACAGAAGAAGCTCAGCAAAGCATGCCAGGAAATGGCGATGGCACAGCGGAGCCGAAATGTCACCTAACAAGACGTACCGAGAAACATAAGCGCGGTCATAGCCCATGGTTTCCGAAAATATTTCTCCTTTCCATCTATGCCTGTGCTTTGTAGTTCGTACACTGCGCATAGTCGGCGGGAGGGATAGCCCATCAATCACGAGACCAAAGAGCAACGTGAGTATTGTAGGGCGGCTCAGATACGCACCAATTTTAGCAAATAGAGAGGTTGTTGTGCCAAATAATAGCAAGCCGGAGACGCTAACTGCCTGCCCTAATTGCGGCATGGTTGCTCTGCGTGATGGCGATAGGGCGCGCAAGCACGTGGCGTCACCCGCGCCCTGGCTTCTTGCCGAAACTCCTTATCTATCGTCACAAACTTAACAAATTACCAGACTAGCTACGCTAACGTGGGGGATGTTGATTCGGCCATCGTGTACAGCGCGTACGGAGCATATCGATCTTTGTCAGCCATCAGAAAATCCGTTCGCGAGCATCCTGCATTTTTTGGCACTGATGTGCAAAAGACTTGTTTGACCGAGCTGTTGGCCGTAATCAATTTCAAGCAGGTTGCGCAGTGGCGTCGCGGTAAATTTGGGAATTGGGAACGAGTGCTCATGGCTCACACAAAAGGAACTTTGAATTTTCCCTGCACAGCTCTCCATAACCCTCCTAAGGCCATGGCTTCCAAGCCATGAGCATCATCAACACCGGTAAACCCTAATCCCTGGCATAGTCATATGAACGCGTATAATAAACACGTGTTACTATTACTATTGCTGCTTTTTGCATCCAAATCATGTGACTCGTCACCTACTCATTTCGCGTCTCCTTCGGCTGGACTGACGCGACGTGCCTGCCCAGGTAGGGATCATCACCCCTTTCCACTCTGGGCCCCTCATCCAATCTCATACAATAGCCTTGGCACCGGATCACCTCTCGCACCTTTCTGCTGACGCCCATCCCCACCCCCACACAGACCTAAGCCCAAATTAGGCTCCCTCTCACCGCGCCAGCGTCCCCTCGCAGCCAAGTCTGTGGGCGACACTACTGTCTTATACAGTTGTCTTAGACAGTTAAAGATCCTTGGTTCGATTCCTGGGGAGACCCCCGACACTGTCGGGAACGCGAGATCATGGCTTGCTGCTGAGATGTGGAGTTGAGATCGCAGTTGATGGATCGAGATTCGCACGCTGGATTGGTGGCGATTGCCGAACCCTCTGTCTCTGCGGATGTTCGGGTGAATGGATGAGCAGGGATCCTAGAAGGCAGGATCAACCGCCTTGGACTTCCAGTTCGTATGGCGTAGTACAGTGTGGTAATGGTGGATGGTGCTGTATGGTATGATAAAATCGTAGAAATGACAATGTGTTCAAATGGCCCAGAAGCCTCCCACTCTGTAACAACATACATACACGCGCCAGCGTCCCCTCGCAGCCGACATCAAAAGCACCGCGCCCTCCAGCGATCGCGACCCGGAGGCCCTGACGCACACACACAGCTGTTGGCTATCGACCTCTTATACCACACACACCTGTCCTCGCGATAAACACACACGACCTCTGCGTTCATCCAACCCAATTGCAAATGGTCCTGGCCGCAATCCGTGTATTCCTCCCTTGGCCGTGCGCATCATGCCGTACACATCTGCAACGCAAAAGCATAAGGGTGTGTACGTACGTATGTACGTCTCCGCACGTACGCATGACGTAATCGTTTTAGCATTGTGGTCAGAAGGCTGACAACGGCCGCGGGGACAAGGGGCACCGAAACACAGCGCCGGGCGTCACCTTCATCAATAGCAGCAGCAGCAGCAGCAGCAGCACTTCCATCGCCGTCCTCTTGCATATCCTCCGCCATGGCGAGGCCCTCGCCTTCTTCCTTCCTTCCCAACCACCTCATCTTCACCGCTGCTACCGAATCTTCAGACAGCCCCCCTGGGGGGGTACTGGAAGCACCAGTTGCACAACAGCGCCCCAACAGCCCGCCCCCGAGAGGGCACTTCCTGGACCCCTCGCAAATCCGTACATCCGTACATGAGCGCTAAGAAATGACATAGAACTGCCGTCCAAGGGCAACATATGGCGGGACGTTGGGGTGTCGGAGCAATCAATGTCTGTGGCTCGCTCAAGGTGGTGGGGTGGCGCGAGGTGGTCCACAAGGGGGGGGAAAAGAAGCACACCGCCAAACACACGGCCCCATTCCTCCTTCTAAAGCCACCGGACTTTGTGTGTGTGTGTTTTTGTTCGTACACCGTGCCGGTATCACCACCACAAAGTCAAAGCACGTTACACTCCGCGCGAGAGACTCCGAGGTGAGAAGCAGACAGACAGACAGACAGACGAACGTGAGGCAACGTGGTCCGACACGACGCCAAAACCCGGATGCCCACATGTGTGGTCGAAAGGCGGGAGGAGAAGGGAAAGGAAAAAGGGGAAACAGGTGGAAGCCGCCTTCTGCGTGTGTGTGGCTTTAATCAACCCACCATCGTCACCACCACTACCCGGGCTCCTCCCTTCTCTTTCCTTTCCAGCACGCAGAGCAGTGCTATGCTGCCTGCGTTGCACTCCTCAGCCCTTTTAAAGACACGGGTACAGCGATAACGGCTTCAAAGCTTTCCACTAAACAGACAGATATTGGGGGAAATCAAAATTGGGTTCGCGGTTTACACCTGTGTCGGTTGTATCTCGTTGTGTGGTTTATACGAACTTGGCGGCAGGCCGGTTCCTGACTTTTGTCAACATGTCCGCTGACCGCCGTATACGGTTGCCGTACAACGATTCCTTCAAAAAGTTGCTGCTCGCGGCGGCTGCCGCCGCCGCCGCCTGAGCCACCTTTGGCAGCACCGCCACCGCCACGACGCTTTCCTTCACTGTTTGAAGCCGCTGACGCTTGGCTGCGCGCCGCTGCGCGCGCACGCTGAGCGTTGCCGCTGCTGACGCGGCGGCTGCTGCCTGCTGCGCCGCCTCGTCCCGTGCCGCCACGGCCGCTAGGACAGATTCCGGCAGGAGGTCGTCCTCGCCGACCACGATGCCTCCCGGAGCTGTCCCTGCTTCTAGCGGGGCGTCTCCAACGTCGTCCTCGTCGTCTTCTGTCCCAGCATGATCCCGTAGCCGCGACCGCGGCCCCGCGTGCCCGCGGCCGCGCTTCAGGTCCTCAGCGTCATCATCCTGCGCGGCTGTGTCGTTATCATTTGCAGGCACAGAAGCGCTGGCTGCTGCTGCTCTAGCTGCAGCCGCAGCCGCTGCTTTCGCTTGGCGATCCCGGCGCAGCTCCCGCTGCGCTCGCTGCTGCTCAACCCGATGATGCCGCTCCTCTTTCCGTTGCTGCACAGCCTGGTCGCGTGCTTGCGTTTGCGTGAACTCCTCAGGGGCGTCATCATCACTGTCTGATTCGTCAGCTGGCGGCGGCAGCTTAGCTGCCGCGGGCTTATGCCCCCCTTTAATTCCTGGCATAATGATTGGCCCTGAGATGGAGTAAATTGCGTCTGCTATGTGAGCAAAACAAGCGAGGTAAGAAGGAATCCCTCAAGCACAAGTGCAATAAGTCCACCTAGAAAATGAAAGATTAGATTTTTACACGTTAAACCAGGATACAATTCACAGCTTGAAAATGCTGTGTTAGCGGAGTGTCTTGGCGGAATGAATCTTCTTACCCGCCGTGCAAATGTTAAGATACATAGAGAGAGAAGAAAACACTTCAAATTTTTCACAGGTCATTGATCCATTTCGAAGATAGGCGTCAGCGACCGAAGGTACTAGCGTCAAACCGTCGTACCTAACCGAACTCATCCTCGCGTCGCCGGCTCGTCTAGTCGTCTTGTGTTGCCACCTGTCTCTTCATCGCGTGTGGCGTAACGCTGTTCCCAGATGCTTTACAGAATCAGGAAGTATGAATTCGATAACATTGACGATGACACAAGTTCATTGTGATGATACCCGTTACAAGTTCATTGTGATGATACCCCGTTACAGATACATGAAACCTGGGCATGGCCTGCTATTACGATTGCTAATACACCTACCACCTTAACCCCAATGGCACCGGCAAACCCACATGGTGAGATAACCCCGTGCGCATATCCGCATGTGTGACCCAAAAAACACCAAAGAAAAAACATCCCGATTGTCAATCAGGGAGGACGACAATCATAATCATATGATCGAGGAAACCTATGGGTCCATCCTATGGGCGCGACGGTGACGTTCCTTTTCTCTCTTCCCCCTCTCCTCACCCCAACTCGCGGCTCTTGACAAAAATACACTCCAAAAAGCCAAAATCTTGGTCTTGGCAACAAGCCCTGCAATCCCAGCATGTCCAACATACCCCCCCCCCAAATAAAGCTCAATACTACCCGATCAAATTGCCCTGGGCTGCGAAACACACAAAAGCTGCTGTCGTCCCGTCCCCTGCCATGCTCCCCCCTTCGTCCATGTTTCAAATCCCCTCCCCCTCCCTCTCCTTCCGTCAAAAAAGCCCTGGGAGTCCATGCCCACGACCTCCCACAGCCCCCCCCTACATCCGCAGTGGCAGGTCACCCGATCAGCCAATCAGCCCAATATCTAATACGATCAATTTACGACACAAGAGGCTCAGATTCTTTACCAACACCGTCACAGTCGCTCCTTCCTGGTCATCCTCATCCTCCTTCCCTCGCCGGCAATGCCACGGTCCCAGGAATACAAACCCAACTTTAAAAATTGCTTCCGAAAAACCGCAGGATGGCGTTCTTTCCGTCGGTCGTTCTTCGGGATTTTAAAAAATGCCCCGCACGATATATCTGCTGTATACTCTGCGTCTTCGCTCCGACATAAGTCCAGCTTCTTCCGCTTGGGGCGCTACCATCTTACAGAACAGGTACATAAAAAAGAGGAATAGAGGTTTTTTCTTTAACCTTAAAACTTCCTCTAAAATCCTCCGCCTCCACTGTAACAATATACTTGCCTGCTTGTTTGGGCACCATGACAGTCTATTTAACAGCGACAGCACTGCGGCACTTGGCCACGTAACCGTCCCTAACCGCCCCCTGATTCCATGTAAAAAGGGAGTCAGAAAAAAACTGAAGGGTTTCTTAAACCCTAAACCCTAAAGCTAGACAGAAAACCTCAACCAGCAGATCCCCTCCCTTTTTGCTCGCCCTACGTTTTTGCCCACCAGCAGTTCCCCCACCGCGTTCGGTCTCTTAAGACCTACCTAACCTGCCTGGCGCTGACCGACATACAGCCGCACAGCCGCAAAATAACCCTAAGTGTCTTCTTTGCCTTCTTCGTCCCCTCGGGCGCTTTCCCTTCGTAGCGTCCCTCAACACCAACCCCACCTTCGAGCACCATGGGTCCCAGATCTGACACAGACAAACAGACAGACAGACGAACATGTACACAATCATCGCACGGTACGTTTTCGCGCGCGCCTTGCACTTCCCCCAGGGGCCCTCGAGCGCGCGTGATTGGGTCCATCATACTTAGGCCTGTCCAGGAGGTGATGATGATTCCATTTCCTCCCTTAACCCAAATCACCTCCTTTCCCAGTAGTACCTTTTTCGCTTCTCCCGCACATGCACAACCACCAGCTGTTAACCACCAACTGTTAACCACCAACTGTTAACCACCAACTGTTAACCACCATTCACGTCTGCGGCGAACTGGCGGATGCTCCAAGCCAGGTTGAGAGTTAAGGATAGGGTGCAAGGTAAGAAAGAGAGAGAGCGCAGTTTTGTACGATATTTGTACGACAGGGAGGGCATGTATGTATGTATGTATGTGTGTGCAGTGTTTATGTGTCGTGAACGACGACCCGCCCCCAGGGTGCACCCGCACCCGCAATTGTCCGCGTCCGATTTTGGATGCTATGGGCCCCGTGGGCGCCTCTATTGCGTATCACATCATTTTTCATTTTGTCTGGAAAGAAGAAAAACAGGAGCCACGAGAGAAGAAAAGAAACAGCACATTAACAACCAACCAACCACCAACCAACACAACATCAGCAGAAGCAGCAGAAGCAGTCGAGGAAGACGACAAAGTGGAGAAGTAGGAGGGAAGATAAATTATCACGGGGGAAAAAACGAAAAGAAAGCAACTCAACTGGTTCAAGTTGACGTGCTTTGACAAACAGAGAAGGATTTTCATCCTTTCAAAGCAACTAACGCAACACGACGCAAGGCAAGGAGTCACGCCTGGTGTAAGCGTGTTGATGTGTAAGAGGGGTAAGAAGGGGGACACGTGAGAAAGGGGAAAGTGAAGCTCCTCACGGGATTAACCAAATGCATGGGATGCAGCTCGTCTCAATATACCTGATAGCCTGAGATTAGTTTGCCCCTACACACGCTACGGCCCACACACACAGACATACGCACAGACAGACCGAATTTGACGGTGGTATGACCCGGGAAGGCAAATATGTGGGGAAGGCCGGATGGATGGGAAAGACGAACTACGAACTACGAACGAAGGCCGGGTGGGACGAGAGGAGGGAGGGCCCACCAAGAGAACTCCGGACAATGTGTAATATGTATAAATTGGTTTCGATATTTGGACACACAGACAAACAGACAGACAAACAGACAGACAGATGGACAGCAAGGTGCAGACAGACAGACAGACAGACAGACAGACGAATGAGCTCATGGAGGTGAAGGCACACACAGGCACATAGAGACACAAAAAGCACGTGTGTAAGAACGGCGCGAGCTGGGGTGTGCAGTGCCGTGCTGACACACCATCACAACCACAAACACCACCAACAGTCATCATCATAACCTCATCACCAAATCCACATACCATATATCACCCCTCCATAACCATCAGCAACCTCACCGAGCCGGTCTTTCCAAAACACACACACATACACATACATACACGGTACAGACAGACACAGACACGCGAAACACATTCAACCCCCCGACCCCCATTCCGAGTTCCCCTTCCCCATCATCCCCCACATCGTAAAACCCATCTTAACGCATCTCCCCGGATCTCGTCGTATAAATTTCAGGCTTCTCAACTCGCTCCGAAACCACCCACCCTATCCTAAAGCGATTCTTACTGTCGTATCCCGTACACTGTCGCATACTGGCCATAACGACACTGCGCAGTTCGCTCCGAAACCGGAGCTTCCAACCGCACCGGTCGTCCACCCAAGTCAGGGACTTCCCAGTCCGCTATAATCCTCCTCCGTCCGCTCCTCGTTCAAGTCTTATCGTGACGTCATCTCCTCACGGGGCGGCTCCTCATGGTGACGTCATCATCTCGCCTGGCGGCTGCCAGCTAGCGCACATCATATCGCCACACGCACCACCCCATCACGTCGCATCCAACGTCGCATTGCCACCGCCGCCGCCGCCACCGCCGCCGCCGCCGCCGCAGCAGCAGCAGCAGCAGCAGCAGCAGCAGCTAGCAACCAGGAGGCCCCCCCCGACAGCAACTCCTCCAACGCGTTGGCTCTCAACAAGATATTCCCCGCCGGAATTGTCCTGTCCGTGTACTATTTAGGCCACGAGCCTTTTTTTGTCCCTGAATGCGGTCTGAGACCTACATACATACAGACGTACATACACATTGGCACGCACACCGCTCAGCGGGGTTTGGCGGCATCGGCGGCATCGGCGGCGGCGGTTGTGGTGGCGGCGGCGCCGATGCCGCCATCACCGTCAAGTCCCTTTCGCCGTGGGCTGTTCCCGGGACTGTGGTGCGTTAGACTGGGGCTCGGACTGATCGTCACTCGGGGCTGTAGCGCAGGGGTCGCGAAGGGCGACACCGGGGTGTTGCGGTGGTGGGGGGAACGACCGAGGCCGGAGGGTGCAGCTGCTGCAGCTGCCGCCGCCGTTGCCGCCGCCGCCGATGCCGCCACGGGCGGT